GGTAGAAGTTGGCAGTGAACCCTTTGGCACAGGGGTTGACACACACACACAGCCACAGAGCCACATGTTGCTTGCACATGTTGTCATGCTGGTGCCAGGCGTTTGGGGTCTGAATGACATGTGGCCATCACATGCGGTTGCTTTTTGGGACTCTTCAGACAAAGGGTTGCTCTTTAAGACTCACATCACATCCATTGCGAATCGGATTTAAGTCGGCCAAACCCTAACCTCGCCTGACTCCCATGTCTACTTCGACCCTCTGCCCTTCAAATGGGACATGACTGACATGATCCCCCAAAAGCACCGGGACTTTTCTAGCTAACTCACTCACATGCATGTGCATGGCACCTCGAAGACTACTTTCCTGTACCAACCGGGGGCTGTCCACGTCGGAACAGGAGTGCGAGACGAGGGTTCCTGGACCCTCCAAAGTTCTCAAGAAAATGGGACATGACCCAAACAAAAACATGTACGACTCCAGGTAGATTCAAAAAGAACCTGAGCCCAGGTCCTGATGCCTATGTTTGATCACACACCACCCCAAGTTGGTGGTTTGTTCTGATCAAAACAGCTGTGTCCAGGTGAAGGTCGGTGGCAGCACCAGCAGCGGTTCTGGAGCCCCAGCCGGGACGGGACGTGACGTCGACCGTGCCACGCTGGGTGAGGCTTCGGCTGTCTGTGAGTCGACTTGGAGGGGAAGCAGTTTGAACGCCAAACGCGACCTACATTACCTTTTGCAGTCCGACATGGCCTACATGAAAACCAGCCAAAAGCATCGATGTGAGGCCATGTCGGACTGCAGTCGCATGGTCGCGTTTGGGGTTCAAGGGTTAAAGGCAGTTTTAAGCCGACTCTTGGGAGGTTTGGCTTAGAAGCTCTACCCCGTGTCAGTCTACTTTGGAAGCCCCCCCACAGTCAACTGGGTGAGTCTCTCAAAGAACCTTGGAGGTCTAGAAATCGATCCGAGAATCCAGGGAGACATGTTGATTTGGGGGGGTTCATCATCCACAGGCAGATCGCTTGGCCTCTAGGGATCCAAAATACAATTTTCAGAAGGTACGACTGGACCCGACCCTAGACCGCCTACATCAAGGTGTCTTCTCACAGAAAGCCCTCTCAGAAGGTGCCAGTGGCACAGTGGATCCACATTTCGAGTACACTTCACAATCCAGAATTGTGGTTGTTTTTTCTTTGGAAACACGCTGATAGACCAGTTTGTATGTGGACATTTTCCACCAAGTCCACAGAGGCACACCATTTCCTTCACAGGTAGCTGGGGAGCATTTCCTTTCTCCACTAAGAAAGGATCACCTGCGAGTATCATCCAGTATATATCCCTTTCCAACATGAAGAATCCAGCACAATATACAGTACACAATACACACCTAGGCCTAGGAGTACACATAGGCTTATAGAACAGGTTCCTTTTTTCCATGTGTTGTTCAATTTATGTATTTGTTTTCATAACAACAAGATCCAACAGGACAATGTTTTGGTTCGAAAACAAGGGTCAGTCAGGTGCGTCTAGGTGTGTATATATAACAATAGTGTTTGTGGAACCATTTTTTTGTAAATGCTGTCTTCCACATTTATGCAACTGTATGATGAAAAAACCATCTATAGGTCTTAACAGGTTGCTGGGCTGCACCCACCAGGTCCCGCTTCACCCAGGTGCTCCCATGGATGGCCCCACGAAGGCGAATCCCATGCCATCTGCTTGGGGAGCCCAGAGAGAATCGGCGGGAACAGACCAGTTCTGCTTGATGAAAAACATCCCTAAGAATTCCATGTCATGGAATATGGTTTTGGAATTTGGAATATGTCTGTATGAATAGTTGTATGAATATATGAATTATATATATAACTATATATGTTTTTGTTCTAGAGGTCTAAGTTTCAGGCTCGATGTATAGGATATTATAGGGTGTGTAGGTAAATATATCAGTCCTTTTTTCTCAGAATCATCCCCTACATGCCCGCCACTTTGCCATGAAAAGGAGGAGCACATGCCCCCATTTCCTGCTTTTGTTTTTTTGATCGAGGCTAGATTTGGCAAGTAAGGGTTTCCCCCCCTTTTTTTGCACAAGCTGCTGGTTGTCTTTTACACGAGCTGCGTTTTGTAGAATTGTTGTTTTGGGCACAAGTTGCCTTGTGGTCCGTAGTATGTTTTTTTCTGTTTGTTTTTCCTTATTGAAAAGGCAGATGTTGCGCGTAGGTTCAGGCGGACCTTCATTCCCATAGGTAGTTACAAGTATGTATTCCCAATGCTGGAACAATTTTCCTGCTTGCCCCACATGTTGGGTGGGGGTTTTCTGGCAGTCCTGCTGAAATAAAAACATCCCAAAGGGTCCCAGAGAGAGAGAGAGAGAGAGAGAAGAGAGAGAGAGAGAGAGCCCCTAGTAGCGTCCATGCTCCTAGTAGCGATGCCCTTTGTTACTAGTAGCCCTTGCTCCTAGTAGTAAGGCCAGGAGCCCCTAGTAGCGTCATTGTTCCTAGAGAGTGGGAGAGAGAGACGTTCACCGGTCCCTTGATGAATTGTCCAAGACTGACCAGCAAAGGTCAAGATGTGTAAAAGCCTAACTTGTTGGGCCACTCAACGAGCGTTTTTCTTTTGTTGTTTCTTCCCAAATGTCACACGAAAGTCTCCAGTTGACACTCCAGTCTCCTCGTCTTCTCCACCAGGTGGTGTCCATCAATTTGGGCGCCGAGAGCTGTGCGGCCGCGAAGACGCCCGGGGCCCCGGCGCTCGCTCCGGCGGGGCAGGGTAGATGGGGCATATGGCAGGAAGGCAACGGGGAGGGATCATTACCCACTCCATGGGACTGGAATATATGCCGCCCCATTGACTCCCCAAACCACCCCAATGTATGCATAATATATGGCATACATGGAGCGTCTTGGTTATTGTGTTTCTTCTACATGCCAAAGACTTGGAGCAAGGGGTGGGGGAGAAATGAGCCGTCCAGGAATCATACCCCCCCTAGCCTTCCAAGAGACCATTCGAAGATGACAATGCCAAGGTTTACCTGGTCTGGTAGCGTACTGTACAAAGAAATGATGGTTGGGTAAAGCCCATTAGTGTAAATCAATTGTAGTTGGAATCATATATATATATATAACTCCAGTTATCGATGATGTTTGGATCATCGCCCCAAGTTGGGTCATCGATGTTCAGTTGTTCAGTGGAGCACTAAGTTGTTTAAAAGACACGCGTGTTTTGTAAACGCCAGGCATTAAAAACACGCACCCTTTTTAAGTAAACGCGACAAAAAAAAATAAAAACAACAAAAACAAAACAAACACAAGGGTTTGTTAAAGGATTTGAAGGTTGATATTTCAAGTTATTAATAGCGTAGATGCTTTTTCAAGAAGAGTGAAATTGCATGTGAGTAACCAGACAAAAGGTCGGTGATGAAGGTATCACGTTGGAGTTCCCAGGGTTTGTGAAACATGCAGGGTTCAATCTTGGAGCTAAGTGCTTTTTTGGCGGCTCAAAAACGCATTTGGGCTAGTGGTAGGTGACTTTAATAAAGAACATGGTCTTCCCAATTCATTTTTCTTTAGCTATTGTCTGGACCAGTCTTGGAACTAAATGCGTTTTTGGCGGCTCAAGAAAATGCATTTGGGCTAGTGGTGGGTGACTTTAGTAAAGAAAATCATCTTCCCAATTCATTTTTCTTTAGCTATCGTCTGGCCAAGGTGACTTTAGTAAAGAAAATCCATCTTCCCAATTCATTTTTCTTTAGCTAATGTCTGGGTAAGGTGACTTTAGTAGAGAAAACCATCTTCCCAATTCATGTTTCTGCAGCTTTTGTCTGGACCAGTCTTGGAGCTAAATGCGTCTTTGGCGGCTCAAAAAATGCATTTGGGCTAGTGGTAGGTGACTTTAATAAAGAACATGATCTTCCCAACTCATTTTTCTTTAACTATTGTCTGGACCAGTCTCGGAACTAAATGCGTGTTTGGCGGCTCAAAAAACGCATTTGGGCTAGTGGTGGGTGACTTTAGTAAAGAAAATATATGTTCCCAATTCATTTTTCTTTAGCTATTGTCTGGACCAGTCTTGGAGCTAAATGTATATACCATCTACATATACTATAGTATATCGTCTATACATACACACCACACAAATAGATGCATTTTGCAGCATGACCGAAATGCATGTGAGTTGCCCCCAACCAAAAACAGTGAAAACACGCATAAAAAACGCACCAACAAAAACGCTTTTCCAACGCACACAAAAAAAGACGCACAAAACGCCAAAAAAAAATGCACCATTCGAGAACGCGTGTTTTCTTACCACTTAGGTGGAGCAAGGAGACCACAATAGACGACCAAAGAGCATGGGCATGGAGATCACATGGAGACTACCTAGAACTGCATTAGTAGGCCTTCTCCGATAGTAGGCAGAAATTGCTACCCAAGAAGAGCTTCTAGGTATGCTTTTCAAACCAGAGATGATTACTTAGCTAGCTAAGTAAACTATAGTGTTCGCATGTTCTATCAAAGGCCACCAACCAACGGATGTGCTTTTTGTGCCCTTGCAGATCCAGCCTCCGTCATATGTTTCCGTCGCACGTGTCCCACCTTCCATGTCTCAGTCGCATGCACCCTTCCACGCTCCTTGTCACGCTCCGTGAGTTCACAGGCCTTTCCCTCCCAAGTCCCTCCAAACCTAGCCCAGACACTCCATGTCATATGTCATATATATGCCGCCCCAAAAAGAACCCTCATAGCCCACCCCTACTGATCCGGTAAATCTTGCCATCCCATGGAGTCTTTGGGTAGGGATTGGTAAGAAGGTCACTCCTTCGGCTCGGCCCAAACGGGACCCGGCCGACGGAGGTGTCCCGGATTTCTTGGTCACCCAGGTCATCCTTTGCCGCGACAAACGATCTCCATGAGTTTGTTTGCATTCGTTTTTTCATGCCGGGACCTGGTGGCGTTCGGATCTTTCTTACGTCCCGGGCAAGGATTTGGCAGCGCTACTTGAGCGAGCACCAGCTGGACGCTTCCGCACGACCCAAGGCTGGCTGTCGACAGGGCTGCCATGGTGGGTCTTTGGTCAATTCCTCGAGGCAAAAAGATAGAATTCTGCTGAACATGTCATGGCATCATTCAACCGGAACTGTTGCATGTCCAAGACACAATCTTTCAGCATGAAGCAGCGTTCCGAACTCATCACCGGAGTTCCCGGTGGCATGTTTTTGGAGGTGACGTTAGACGACTAATCCCCTCTCCCTAATAATAAACGGCCCCCCCCCCCTATTAATAAAACCCTGGGGTGTTTTTACTAATAGGGGGTGTTTATTATTGAGGGGCACCTGTTGTACCCCCAAATGGGCAATGTTCTGTTCGCCCTAATAAAAAGTAGGGTCTCGAAAGAAAATCCCTGGGTTCCCAATCTAATTAAATATATAAAATCCTTGTTAAAACGACCATCAAAAAAACAACAAAGGGTCAAATCGAAGGTCTTCCCCCTCTTGTTGGTTTCCTAGACCAACTGTTGATGCACCCAATGAGAGGGAGAGAGTTATTTTTGGGGGAGGATTGGAGATGTTTTCAATATTACGGGGAATTCGGGTTATTTTTGCTGTCCCCCTAATACACCTAAAATCTGGGGCACCCCCGACTGTGGACCCACGAGTATTGAATTTCAAAGGGAGCAATTTCAAAACGCTACTAACAATTTTTTGGGGTCGGGCACATGTGTTTTTATTAATTGGGGTACGTTTATTAATAGGAACTAGGGATTATGACTATCCTGCCAAGGCGATTAAAAGAATTCGGTTGACCTGGTGTCATAGTCAGGCTAAAATCCTTATAGTAAAACATATATAATAAAACAATTGTTTTCCGGTAAGGCTAAATCCATGGTAGGCCAAGAATCCCATTAGGGGTAATTATAGATATATACTGGTTCAAACCCCTCCTGAAGTGGCTGTGGGTTAGAACATGAACGCTCCAAACCATCATAGGTTGATATGTTCTTACTCCATGTTGTCTCCATTTCAGGTGTCATGATTTGGATTCCCCCAGCTAGACGATCGTAGTAACATCCCGACCGCCCTTAAGAGGGAAGGCACCGGGGAGGAACCGAAGAATGGTGCAATGAGAGTGTCCGGCGGACCCTGTAAATGTATGTTGACCACCCTGTAAACCCCCCACGTGTTTGGCAACATGCAGCTAGCTTCAGGGCATGTTCATGGTTCCCCCCCCAGGGGGTTTCCCCGTGGGGCAGAATTCCAGCAAATCACCTGGCAGAAAGGAGGTGGCTTGCTTGCAATCTTTGTGCAGCAAAGGGAAACTGTAGTGGAAACTGTAGTTTATATTATAGATTTGTACAATATATTTGTTTGGATTTGTTCGGCAAATGTTAGCATAATGTTAGCCAACAACTGTTAGACATAGATCGTGAGAATGTAAGCTAGCTTTTTTGAGGTTTGGTTTCCTTAATCCTCCCAGATATTGGAACTTGCGTATTTGCAGGACCTCTTCTTTATAGGGAGATTGGAACTATATGAATGCGAGTCCGCTCCGACTAGTGAAGACCAGCCCGGAGAAATACTTTGGACACCTGGACACCTCCTGAAATTGATGTCCCTCTTTAGAGGGGTCCTCTAGTTTGAGGGCACTTGAACCCCAATTGATTCTATATTCCGTTGTGGCCTGATCACCAGCTCCATCGGAACGGGGCTGGTTGGAGGATGGCCAATTCTACGGCTGCAGCAACACGCTCTTTGCCTCCAGCACTACCGGAAGGCCTGAGGGGAAAAGGACAGCAGCCATGCACGTTTGGAAACCGACCCCCACCGCGATTTGGAGATGTTGCATGATCATGCTGTTACCAAGCGTTCACTATATTGAGCTAGAAGTTAAGACGTATCATCTCATCCTGCGCACGGTGAAGTAATATTCACTGACGGAAGAGTTCTCCAATGACGAACCAATGGGCCCTGGGATAGAAACCACGTCGCTGGGGTGGTGTCTTTTGGGTTTCCCAGATTGCCAGGTGTGGTTGGGCTCGGGTGAATCCCATAATATATATATATAGATATAATAGAGAGTCCTTTTAGGTATTATATGATCCCAAAAGGTCCCTGGATCATATATGTTTTTGTTCCCCGGTTTCTGGGATCCTTCGTCGCAAGTCCAAGGTTGATGTTTTTTGTCTCCATCTATCACCTTGCAATGGAACGCCGAAGGCACAGCGGTCGTCACAGGTGAGGTGACAGCCTGCGGTCCTCACAGGTGAGCGAGGCATAGCACGAACGACACCGTCACCGGGGTGACAGCCTGCGGTACCCAGAGGAGCCTCTGACTCTAAAAGTACCCCTCTGAACAGTACCCACATGACTCTGGCAGTTTGGATCGAAACCTAGAGCCAGTGGTCTCTGTTGATGTTCGGTAGGAAAACCGGCCGGTTCTCCCGGTGCCATGAGAAACATAGAGATACGTAGGCATCTCCCACTCCGCATGCTCCGCCGCTCCGCGAGGTACATCCCCAGGTCCATCCTGGCCAGCTACGACTCAGCAACCATGGACGCTCTCGGCGAGGCAGGTCTGAAGCACGGTTGGGTCCAAAGGAGGAACCTGGACTGGACCAGTTTGGTGACCCGAACTGGTGTCTCTGTGTCTGAATTCCTGGGATCTCAGTTTGAGGGTCACAAACTGAAGGGAGGTCCTGGTGGACAGTCAGTTCAATACAAGTTCCTGCAAAATGACAGTCGTAGAACTCATAGACCGGCGTGTCCAATTTTGATGTTCTTTTTGGGCTGCGGACTCGAGGGTTTGTGGATGCAATTCGGAGCCAAACTTGGAGGTTTGAGGGTCTTTGTAGGTAAGTAAGGTATACCATCCAGAAGCCGTTCCAACAATGTGTTAGGTGAAAATGGTGGAACTGGTGTGGATTGTGGATCTGGAGGTGTCCTTCGCGCACGTCGAAGTTGTTGCGTGGATTGATGTGATGTGGCATCATAACTTGGCCTCCAACAAACCTCTCTCGAGATAGGAAAGACATGGAAAAAATATGCATGTAGTGCCTTGTTCAGGACTTGCAGCGTGACCTTTGGACGACCTAAGTGACCTCTGCTGCTACTAAAATATCAAAAAAGGAAGGTGCTGGTGCATGTCTGTTAGGCTTTAACGTTTTAACATCAATGATGTTTGTTTGAACCAGGTGCCTCTTTCGGAAACCTACAGTAAAGAAAACACCATAAAAAAGAAACACAAAGAAACACATCACCAGTCGTTGCCTTGTTTCATCTTCTCGTCTTCTCGATGTCTCAGTCAGGCTGGGCTCTTCAATCCAGCGACTATTCTCACTGGCAACAAACCGGGCCACGGCGTCCCAGACACTGCTGCGGTCGCCACGGCGTCCGGTCGTATACCCCGTCCGGACGCCACCGGTGTGCATGTTTTTCTGCGGAATTTTGTGAGACTTTCCGGATTTTGGATGGATCTGGGGCCAAAAACAAGCCACATCTCTGTAGAAATCTCCACACCTCCATTTGGAGTGGACATTCTTGAACCCACCTGTGGGCGGACATGTATACTGACATGCAGACAAGACTGCACTTAAGACTTCTCCTGTTGAACCCCCACTTTCAGGAAAACCCCGGGTATTTGCTGGATCCCAACGGCGTTTGAGTTGCCCTGGCCCTGCACGAAGTACTCCAGGAGCGGATCTGGGTGGACATTGGGCACCCTGGGGCACCCTATATGAATCCTAGGGCTCCTGTCCCACATCCTCAGAAGGTAGTCAGGCTCCCCACCACCACTTTTTCAGGATATGCTTGGAGCACTGGGGATGAAACACCATGAGTCCCAACTGCTTGTGGACCATGCGTCCCTCGACCCGGATGGCACGTCCAGGCCCGTCCCATCAGAGTGGCGAATCGGATGGTGCTTTCATGGACGAGGTGCGGGGCGTGCGGGGTATAGCGACGGTCGCGGCCGAGTTCGGGATCGTGGCGATCACGGGATCTTAGGGAAAAACCCACACGCTCCATGTATGAGTTGGGTGGGCAACCTATATGAAGGTCAAGATCATCTCAAGACATCTCAACATCATCATAAATCATCTCAACAGTTTCTGACATGAAAAGCTTTGGGACGTCCCAAACAGTCAAATGCATGTTATCTTCACGTTTCGGTCATGCATTCTGCTTGGTTCTGCCTGGATCCTTATGCAGGCACTTAAGCTTGCAATGGAGAAGTGATCGCTTCGATGTTGCTTTTCGTCGGATCCCGGTCTTTTCGGTTTTTGGCACACTCGGATTGGGCAGAGAATGCGCATTGTTTTGGTGTTTGTTTTTGCATGTGTTTGCTTTTCTGGTCAGTCGGCAGTGTTCAGTGGACTGCTTCGCAACCCGAATGCCACTCTCAGACGTCGAAATTCAGGATAGTTGGGTCGGCCCAAGGCCAAAAGGTGGTGACTTTCATGGAAGACTTCAATTTCTCAGAGTCAAGCTCTAAGGTGTGTCCCTCAAGCCATTTGGAGGGGATGGGTAGTAGTGTCCACCAATCGATCTCTCCACTTCGTTCGAAGCAACTCAAGAGAGACATCAACTCAGTTGGTTTCCAGTGCCTTGGTAGTAAGTTGTTTTGATGTTTACCCTCTCACTAAATCTCACAAACGTTTTAATTGCCAACAGAGGTTGAAGAACCCTCTAGGCTGTCCCAGTTCGGTACCCTGGTAGGGTCCTATAAGGTCACTTAACCTCTGTTGGTGTAGACTGACAATATTCTGTCTCTTGTTGATTAGCTCGAAGAGTAATCCCAAAGATCTTCCATGGGAAGCAGGCGGGACTGAAACTCCATGCACGACCGCGGTCACCGCGATAGTTACCGTCGACCATCCGGATGACCGACCACGTTCTTTGGTTGGTCGTCGGTACGGTGGGGTCAATGTAGGTATCTATATGCAGTATGTACAGATGTATGTAGATATAGCATATACAATCATATACATATTCCAGTCACAGTCACAGGTTTTCTTCCTCTCCGTCTCGCACCGGAGCTTCCGGAGCTCGAAACCAGATCATGGACTGCGTACGACGTCAGCTGGAAGAGGTGCTGGGGTCGAAACCCGCCGGGTGGAACGATGGACAGTTTGCTTGCTTGCTGGCTTGAAGCACACCTATAGAGGTTGGGTCGGTCCTATTGCCTGAAACAGTCGGTAAACAATTATGACTATTTTAGAGAATGGCCTTTGCATAACGATTATATCACCCACTGTTACTGGGATATGCTTAACCTATAAAGATCCACCAATCGCCCTCTCGAAGGGTATGTGGTCCATAGGGAAGTACACTCACTCTAAACGGATTCGAACAAACTACATGTTGCCCTTGGAACTGGGAGACTCTGCAAGACTCTCTTCCTCTACCAAGAGCGGGTACCCAACATGGGTACGCAGATGGCATGGGCCTATGGGCCAGCTGGAGGACGAACCTCCTTTGTGAACCACAGGTGGTGTGTATATTTCTTCCACGAAGCGATGAAAAAGATCGGATCGCGGGCAGAGTCGATGCGGCCAAGCGATAGAAACACCTGGCTTCGGCTTCTTTTTCCTTCCATGTGGTCGGCTCGTTCAAGTCCATGTGGTCTATGTCGGCTCGTTAATCATGGTCCAAATAATGTCCAGGAAGGTATTGGTAGATTCTGATCTTTTCTGACCTTTAATTGTTGCACAACAGAGGTTATGATGTTTGCACGTGGCCTGCGTGAGCGAGCTGCAGAGCGGGTTCGCGAAAACCAGGCAGACTATGTGGAAGGCTTCATGTTCTTGCACAATGCCGCCGAGGACGACGTTACGCGGCGTTGCTGGGACGACGTGTCGGAGGGTGGAACGCCGGCAGTAATGTGGAAGCTTGACTAAGCAACCCCGGATGTGAAGAGCTCTTACAATCTAATGGGAGTGTTAGTTTATCATTATTCTATCAAGATTCAACAATATGCCGATGAACAGAAGACATGCAGTTGAAGCTTGACCACACATAGGTGAGGGCATGTGAGGCCTGAATAGGCCGAGCTTGATCATGACTAGCTTTCTTTTTGGGCACACTGATATCAGCAAAGATTTTGTGTGTGGGGTCACCAGAGACTTTGTTTTGAAGACGGTACATTGCAGTGATCAGCAACCTGATCAAAGCCTGCAACATTTGACCCATGTTATGAGGAGGTTGCTTCTAAAAAATAGATCTATTCACATTCCACTGATTCCACCACCATGCAACCTTCATCAATCAGGAGGTTGCTGCAACCACCTTAAGTGGTGCAAACTGATCGCTGCTGCCCAGACACTTCACGATCAAATCTCCCATGTCCCCAGAGACTCCATGGGATATAACTAAAACATATTAAACATATATCATATTCTAACATGCCCTTAAAACCAAGTAAAGTAGAAAAAAATAAACAACATAACAATAATAAATACATTAAACTAACGGTTCACCTGGTTTTGTAGTCTCAAATCTTTAGCAAGACAATGGTGCTTGGAATCCCAAGGTGTATATTCTATATATGCCCACTGGCTCCGTTTGACCCGACTGGGCCAGAAACCTGCCTCGTTTGGATACAAAGCTGGTGATACCGGGAAAATCGTGGCAAAAGCTGCCAGCTGTGGGCCACGATCCTTCCTCGAAGAAACATGGAATTAAGTCAACTGCCACCTAAATTTGTAGAGCTTAGAAGTTTGGACCATGCCATTGTTGGATAGAGGGTACTTCTTGACTTTTCCAGTGATTGCATTATGCTTCCGTACGGGGCTCCGAACCAACGCAGGACGCATGCACCAACGGCGTGACTTCAAGGTGCTCGTTTTCCTTGGGAACCTCCGCGGAGAATCGGTGTGTTGAAAAGGACCGGTGCTTTGTCCGCGAAAGGCCCGGGCCACGGAAGGGACCACCCGGCCCGGGCCATGCCCGGCCCTGAAGGCAGAGGAACTATGAGAAACTCACAAACAAATCATGAACAAATTGGATCCATAAACTAAATGCGCCGAATTTGAGAGAGAGAGAGAGATTGAAACCAAAGCACCAGTGGGTTGTTTCCCTCTCCCGCGAGTGATAGACCAGGCGAGGCGGGCGAACGAATACCGTGCGCAACCTTGAAGCTTCTTTGGTACAGTACTTGGTTTCTCCGCCAAACAAAGCAGGTGCAGAATGGTTAATTAGTGTTTGTTTGCAGGGAAACTGAGTGAGTCAGAAGATGTTTGTGAAGGATCTGAACATTTGAGACTTACTTGATTGCACTTGAAGTGCGGGATGCTGTAAAGAGATACCTTTGTCCGTTGTTGCCCTGCACAGGTGGTTATCAGGAAAAAACCGGATGCAATGATCAGTCGCTTCCTTCCGTCATCTTCCGTCTCAGTCGTGTTGGAAATCGCATGCCGCGACTGGAGGACCTGTAGGCGATGTGAACTCGAGGAGTCACCACCTAGACTGTCACACCCAGGACCTAGACTGTCACAAGAAAAAGGCCTAGACTAGTCGAGGAGTCAAAACATTCCATGTTTTTGGCGCGGAATCCCCGTCGCAGTTTGTTGCAAAAGCTTTGCGTGGAGTACGGGAAAAAGAGCAAGACACTCGATTGCAAGAGCCGCGATGTTCGGGCTGACTGGGAAGATGGTTGCTTCCCTGCATTCCGCGTCATTTAGTAGGTGACCAGGATCAGTCATCACCCCTCCTAACTAAATGGTTAATGGGGGGGGGGGGTACGTGGTGGCTAGCCATTTTCCATTAGCCATTTAATTTTGTAGGATTTGTATATGTGTGTATTTATTTTTGTTTTTTTTTGCATGCTGATATACAGATCAACTGGCAGGTGTCATCGGTGAGGTCGGAATGAATTTCATGACCATACCATTCCACATTCATCGCCAGTGGTTGGATGTGGTTGGATGTGTTGATAGATGTTGGTATGTTGGTATATGTTGACTTAAAATTATCACATGACGATTGAAAACATATGAACACATACTGTATTTTTAAGAATGGTGCCTGGTCCGCGCACCACAGCCAATTGTTTTTGTTCCAGCAACATCCAGTCCGTAGTCTTTTGTCATCGGTGAAGCCGGTCACTGCCCCAGCAGATCTTCGATGATGATTGGTAGGGCATGATGGTACGTGCTTTTTCATGAAGATGTTGAAGGTGAAGGTGTTTGAAGGTTATTGAACCTTGAGTGAAGATAAGGCAGGCAGGTGCAAGTAGGTGTTGGCCATTGAAGCTAGCAGCTAGAGATTGCAATATGTTGCAGTATCTTGCAGTGCACTAACCTGACTGAATTGCAGCAATGTTGTTGTCTCAAGTGATGCTGAGATTTGCTGATATGTATGTCAGCTTACTTCAACACACTTTAACTAGAGCTTCATAACAACTATGCAGAACTACTTGTAGCTAGATATAGTTTTGCATATCTTTGCACCAGCTTGTATCAGAATATTTTAGGATACCTTAGGACACCATATGTATCAACGAATGTCACCAAATTTCTCCAAACAACATCAAGCTTCAATATATGTGGTTTGATGTGACTTGATGTGACTTGTAAATTTGCATGATTTGCACCATGTACGTTGTGCTTGACTTTGATGTGCCGGGGGGGTGTAATGGCTAGCCAATTTCAACGGGGGGGTTGCGGATTCAGCAAATCAGCAGATTACATGTGGAAAGTATGGATTCATGCCGGCTGCACATCCGGAATTTCCTTGGCGCTCAATAAAGACACATGGGTGGAATATGCTGAGTGGGTGCAATATGGTGCAGGCAGAAAAGTTTTTATGCTTTTGTTGAATGGTTTCTTGTGCTCATGCATTTTCACACGTTTTCGCTGGCTACTTTGAGCTTGTAGTACCGCAGTGTTTTATTTGGATCACGTTTTGCTTTTAAGCTGTTTGGTGCTTTAAGGGATTGGTCTTCTTGGTCTTTGCCAAGAAACATCGTATAACGTAGTCTGTCATAGTCAAAGCATAACAATATCACAATTTTTTGCGCCATGATGCCGGTGATGTGTTCCTTTCTGCTTGATGATTGTTCAGTACTTTCTTCACCCTGTGCATTGGTGTTCTCCGCTGCTCCTTGTTGCTGCAAGATGATTCAAAAAACACTGAAACGTTTAGAAGCATGATTGGGAATGTACTGAAAAGCAATAAAAACAAACATGTGGCACTTATGTGACAAAAATCCCGCTGTGTCCTAGTTTGTTCAAGAATTTGCTACATGACGTCCTGCGACTGCCTTTATGTTGCTGTGGCGGTCCTTATGTTCCTATAGCGACACATCGTTTTAACATGCTTCAATTGTTTTCAACCATTTTCAACTGCACCATACAGCCTCACTAATGCTCAAAGATGTCCACACGTCCGCGAGATCACCCGTGAGTACGTGTGCCTTTGGAAGACATTCTATCCAGTGTCTTTCGCAAAACACCAGACCTTCAATTTTCAACACCTAGTTTGGCAAAAGCTTTCAAAAGTAGGTGTTGTCCATTGAAGCTGGTGATGTTGTGGCTGGAATTTGTTTTCGGCAATTGGGGCATGTCGTTCATGGTCTTTCACGCTGGCCAATCCAACGACCTCACAAGGTCAAGAAAATGCCCTAGCTGCCCTAGAAGCATGGGTGAGAAACGGGCGAATCGTTCAACCTTAGTCATGAAAGGCAGCTGCTGCTTTGCTCTCTTTTGCTTTATGTTGTCAGCACTGTGGACATGATATGACATAATCTCACCACCCTTTAAGGGGGGTTAATGGCTACCGATTCATGCAAGTTTCCTGTGGAAAGCATCGATTCATGCTGGTTGCACACCCGGAACTTTCTTGGCGCTGAAAAAAAAGACGCCTGGCTGGAATGCGCTGGGTGGGTGCAATCTGGCGCTGGCAGATTTTTTCATGCTTTTGTTGAACGGTTTCTTGTGCTCTTGCATGTTCATATGTCTTCACTTGCCACTTTATGCTTGTAGTACCGCAGTGCATTATCTTGCTCTTTATCTTGCTCACGTTTTGATGTTTAATCTCTTTGATGCTTTTGGGGCATTTAACTGCATTGGTCTTCTTGGTCTTTGCCAAGACACGTAGCGCATCGTAGTCTGTCATAGTCAAAGAAAGCGTATTAATATCACAATTTTGCGCGATGATCAAGCAGTATTGGGGCTCATCTTAGTTGAGCCGGTGATGTGTTCCTTTCTGCTTGGTTGTTGTTCAGTACTTTCTTCACCCTGTGCATTGGTGTTCGACGTTGCTCCGTGTTGCTGCAAGATGTTTCAAGAACATTGAAATGCTTAGAAGCATGATCGAGAATGGTGCGAAAAGTTTAAAAGCAATAACATGTAACACTTATGTAACAAAAACCGAGCTGTGTCAAAGTTTGGCCAGGCATTTGCTACATGATGCGGCTGTCTTTATGTTGCTGTGGCGGTCCTTATGTTCCTATAGCGACACATCGTTTTAACATGCTTCAATTTTGTTCAGCCATTTTCCACTGCACCATACTGCGTCAATAATGCTCAAAGATGTGGACAGGTCCATGAGATCACCAGTGAGTACGGTGTGCTTTTGGATCGCATTCTATCCAGTGCACTGGAAAGCAAGAAATGTCGCGAAATCCAGAAGGATGCTTGCTTGCCTGCATTTGCACGCAAAAAGATTTACGTAGAAACATCCTGATATGTGTGCGCATGTATGCACACACACACACATGTGCACATACAGGCACGCATGGACCTACGTTCGTGCGCAAGGGGTTGAGGGGTAGTGCAATCTTTTGCAAAACACCAGACCTTCAATTTTCAACACCTAGTTTGGCAAAAGCTTTCAAAAGTAGGTGTTGTCCATTGAAGCTGGTGATGTTGGGGCTGGAATTTGTTTTCAGCAAATGGAGCACGTTTTTCATGGTCCTTCACGCTGGCCAATCCAACGACCTCACAAGGTCAAGAAAATGCCCTAGCTGCCCTAGAAGCATGGGTGAGAAACGGGCGAATCATTCAACCTTAGTCATGAAAGGCAACTGCTGTTTTGTTCTCTTTTGCTTTATAGTTTCAGCACTGTGGACAAGATACGAGAAAATGTACATGGTGGTTAGAGGTGGCTAGCGTCTTTTTCAAGCACGGTTTGCGAATGACTGCGTATGAGCGCGTGTAACTAAATTACGGTATACTCTTGCGTGTAAGGTGGTGAAGCATGAAATGATATATGACATAGTATGATATAGTGCGGTGTGTGAAAGTATCCGAAATTGGATCACCCCGTGAAATTTCTTTGTTGCCCCGAGAGTGCGTGATATTATACAATAGTGCATGGTTAAGCGCCAGTTGGCTCAATCCCGCTCTTGAAAAAACACTGGGGCTCATTGGTGGCTGTGGCTGAAGCCAAAGGAGCAGATATTCAAGACAAGATGCGCAAAGAGTTGCTTCAGCCTCGTGGTCACCGGTGAACCAACCGCCCATCCTGACCAGGGCTGCCAGAATTCTGCTGATTGCCTTGGAGCTGTCCTCAAAATGCCTGGCATGGAGAGACTTCCCAAACTTGAGTCCTGAGCTTATGAAGATTGCTTCCCGCCTTGCTTTGCAAGCCATATCGAGTCATCTGCCCTGTTCTAGAAGATTGTTACTTTTGAGCAATCTTCAACATTATGTTTTGCCCTTGTACGTCTTTGTATGTGTTATCTTTCCTGTGCAGCTCAGCAGATTTCAATAAAATTCAGTGCCATTCATGACGTCACTGGTGACGAATGCTTGGAAGCCTTCTTGAGGGCAGGAGATGAAACCCTGGTCATGGGCAAACAGCAGGGCAAACCAGTGCGAAGGTCAGGATACGATTCTGTAGGCCTTACTCCTGACCGCAGGGTTTCTTGGGCGTACGACTGTACTCATCGGTGAGCAGTCCTGCAAGTACTTCTGCGAGAGCGCGACGGTCTACCTTTCAGCTGTGGGGCGCTTGTTCTTGTGTTGCTTGGTAATGTTTCATGATGTTCCGCATAGTTTTGCAAGTTTCGCCTGTGTGCCATGAGATACCATGAGATGAGATATGATGCGACCTGATGTGGTACCTGGTACAATCCTTTACAGTGTCAAGCAGTGTCACGAAAGAACTTGTCATGTTAGTGGGCTTACAAGAGTTTCGTCAAGTCCAGAGTCTATGTATCTATTTAAAAGTCTAGTAGGTTGTAATTTGGTGTAGTAGGTGGAAGTCATGCGCGTGAGTTGCTGTGAACAAGCAAGAGCTTTGGGTAGACATGTCTCAGTGCATGTTGACATGAAGAGGGATAAAAGCCAAAAAGATGAAGCGCCCGTGTTTCCAGCCCAGCGCTTCAGTGAAGAAGCCCTCAAGAGTATTTGCAAGACATGTCATGTCAGCGGAGACGTTGCGCCAACCTGGACTCAGGACGTCAGCAGATTGGCTTGATAACCCCAAAGCAACAGCGACAGGGTGATTCCTTTCTTGCCAGTGATGGTAAGTCTTCAGAGAAAACATTGCCACCAAAGTCCTTTCTTGCGTCGATCTCAAAAAAGTCTGTGAAGAGGTTGAGGCAAGCTGGCCTGCGTGCTCTAGCCCCACGCAGATTGGCGTTCGCAGAGTTCCAGTCAA